TAAGATTGTTGAAGAGCACGCGCAACACATTGACCCTTTGCTTGAACTCCTACGACATCATAAGTATAAGATCAACTTAGAGAAATGCGAGTTTGGTCGCACCAAGATCTTATACTTAGGTCTTGAGGTATCCGCAGAGGGAGTAAGTCTGCAAGATGCAAAGGTGGCTAGCATTCATGACTGGCCACGACGTAAGTCTGTGATAGAGGTCGGGTCTTTCTTGAGGATGACATGCTACTACCTCAACTTTATAAAGAATAGTAGCACGGTGGCAACCCCCTTAACTAATCTAACTCAGCTTGACACGCCAGGGGAATGGACTGACGAATGCGAGAGAGCCTTCAAGCGATTGAAGCACGCTCTCATGCATCATGAGGTTTTCATGCTCCCTGATCCTGAGAAGCCATTCATTGTTACCACTGATGCAAACTAATATGGCATTGGCGCAGTGCTGGCTCAACAGGAGGGGGAAAAGTGAAGGTCGATCGAGTACATGAGCAAGAAGATGCCATCAAAGAAACTAGCGAAGTCCACATACGAGAGGGAGCTCTACACGCTAAAGTGGATCAAAACAAAACCACTGAAGGCATTTTCTTTTAGAACGGTTCTTCTATCTGAGGACTGACCATCAACCGCTCAATTGGATCAAAACAAAACCAGTCCTCTCCTATCCACTCAAACGCTGGATTGAAGTCATAGATCTATGTGACTTCAAGCTGGACTATCTGAGAGGAGAGTACAATAAGGTTGTTGATGCACTCTCGGGGAGGGCTGACTACTTTGGTGCGCTAATCACTGAGTTTGGTTCATCTGACGAGCCGACTCGATCATTCCTGGAAGCCTACGAGAAAGGCCCCGTCATGATGGACATCATCCACAAGCTGGAGGTCAGGGATAAGGCCACATCAAATGAGTTTATGATGGCGGATGGGTTGCTCTTTCTTAAGAAGGCAGGATTCAAAAGACTCTGTGTGTCGTCTAGTGAGTTTTTGCGTAGTTTATTTTTAGGAAAATGTCATGATGCAATAGGGCATTTCGGATACAAAAAAACTAGTGCTAATTTAGTACAACATTGTTGGTGGTCGACTATGCTTGAAGATGCGGAAAGTTACGTCGAGACTTGTCAAGTCTGTCAACGGGACAAACTGAGAACTCAAGCACCGATTGGGTTACTCAAGCCCTTGCCCATTCGTGCAGGTCCAAGACAGAGCGTTTCCATGGACTTCATGGACACCCTCATGACCAGCAAAAAAAGCGGCAAGAGGCACATTTTCGTCATAGTCGACCAATTCACGAAGTATGCTAGACTTATTGCCATGCCTGAAACTGCAAAGACTGAGAAAGTCATCAAGTTATTCATGGATAATTGGGTGCGTGATTTTGGACTGCCCAAGAATGATAGTAAGCGATAGAGATGTCCGGTTCACCAACGAGGTGTGGAAAAAGGCTGCTGAACAGATGGGCAGCCAACTCCAAATGACGTCGGGGAATCAACCCGAAGCCAACAGTCAAACGGAACAGATGAACCGCATGGTGCAACACCTGTGGAGACACTACATCAAACCCAACCAGGATGACTGGGATGAGAAGTTGCTTCTCATCGCCAGCCTGTACAACGACGTTGTTCACAACACCACTACCGTCAGTCCGAATGAGCTGCATTTGGGGTAGAAGCTTAGATGTGCAGACTTCCTCCTTCCTGAAAACTGACCAGCTGCAACTCTGGAACCATAAAATTTGGCATCCATTATGAGAAGCCGTTGCAGCAGGCTGTCGAGCATATTAGAAAATTTTAGGAGACCATAATTGCCTCTGAGAACAAACATAGACGACAATCCACATTTCAAGTAGGGAACGTGTTTGGGTAAAGGCTAGTCAGTTAGGACAGGAATTCGGCATCTCTAGAAAGCTAATGCCTCGGAACTTCTGTCCTTGGGAAGTCCTGGGCATTGTGGGTAGTGATCCAGATGGTCCCTCCTATGTGATTAGAATCCCTGGTCATCTACGTACTTACCCTGTGTTTCACGCTTCCAAGCTTACACCATTCGCTGAGACTAACTTCCCATTAAGGAGATCAATGTTGCCCCCAACCATGGATGGCCACGTGGACATTGACGACATTGTTGATCATCGAGATCTGCCTGTTCCAAAGCCAGCTGGTAGAGGAAGACTGTCAAACCAACACGAGAATACCGGATCAGATTTAGGCATCACATGGATCCAAATGAAGACTGTTGGTTCACGAAGGAGGAACTGATTAAGACAACACCTCAGATCGTCGCAGAGTACGAACAAAGATTAAAGGGGAGAGCACCTGCGTAGAAGCATCTCAACAGACTTTCGAAGCTAAGGGGGATGGAATGTGAGGACTTTGCCGTCACAGTGGCCGTGAGGCCGCAGCCTTCCCAATGCCCAAGGCCCCCCCCCCAAGCAAGTAGCGTGCCCGCCCTAAGTGAAGGCAGGCCTGTACTCAACATCGTGAAACAGTATTCACCAGTTCGCAGTAGCGAATGCAGATCCCAGGGTTCGATCCCTAGTTCCCCATCTTACCTGTGTACAGTAGTGATGTCAACCCGTAGATTTGAACCTGTGACCTGTCGAAACGCCAGTGGTAGGTAGATTGTCGTAGGTCACAGCTTAGAAGGGAATCGAACTGTAGACTTGTAGGGTAGGAGTCTAGACAGTTCCGAAGTCGTAGTTGTAGGTTGTCTGAAAGGTCAAGGTCGTAGCTGCTACTTACCTGAAGGGGCAAAGTCGTAGCTGCTACAACACYGAAARGCCAAGTCGGAGGTTTCTAGAAGTRGCCTTTYGGAGTGAGCCTCCGTTGAACAGAGGCAAGTGGTCAAGTGGTGGTAAGCCACCCTGCTGAGTCAACAGTCCCAGTTAGGCAGTCCGGTCCTRTCCARCAAGTACCGTCTGGGACTGTGTGCACCAAGGGCCAAGGGACACAGGGCAGACCAACGCAGCGTAGAAGTATAAATCAAGAGGCTGCGCCCAGCCATTCATTCATTCCTGSGGATGCCATGCGGAAGCGCTGCCTCAGCAGCTTGTGYGAGGGGGTCTGCAGTGTGCCCGAAGACGAAGTGGGCAGAGAAGCGTAGTGTAGCGATAGGGTAATGGCAGCTAGCGTTGCCATAGCTGTAGCATAGTGTGTGTGTGGTGTGTTGCGTATGGATASTGAGTGYTGCRTGTGGGACATCCAGGGTGATCCAGAGTGCGAACAGTGAGTTGTGTGGGCGCGCAGTCGCCATAGCCAGTTGGAAGAGAACTCTTATCTGGGCACGATATCTTTGAGTACTGTGTGGGCGCATGTCGCCAGTTTTCTGTATCGCTGTTTGCATGCATGATGAAGTGTGAATAAGCCGAGTCTGATTGCACTGGTATCGGAGTCGGTACCCGCTGTTCCACGCGCGTCTCGTATGCAGGGCCGATGAGCCATAGCTGAAGTGGCCGCCGGAGGAGGCAGTCCGCCATAGCGGACCTCGAGGTGGAAGAAGACGCCGTGCACCTGCAACAAGAAGACACGACGAAGAAGAAGACTAAGAGAGAGGTGAGAGATACAAGATTGGGTTCTTACCTGTTGTGCTGAAGAAAGAAAGTGAAGGAAGGGGAAGTAGACGGCGAGGGTGACGAAGGTGGAGGTGCCGACAGCCATAGCCGAGGTGAGGCGTTGACCGGGCGTTGACCAGACCGTTGACAAGAGGGTTGACCAAGGGTTGACCAGAGGGTTGACTAGGCGTTGACCAAGGTGGTTGACCAAGCGCTGGCTGGGGGTTGCCTGCGTTGACTCAGCGTTGACCAAGGCGTTGACCGGAGCTTCTGACCAAGATTTTGACCAAGCTGGAGTTGGTGATATCTCGTTGACCCTTCAGCCTATCCCCTTACCCTGTGGATGTGCACTACCCCGCGGTACTTGCTGAGTCTGTCTGTCTCTCCTTTCTGCATTGAGTCTCTTCTGTCCTAGGTGCTAGGACTCTGTGGATGAAGGATCGGGCCTTGCTGCCAAACCTACACGGGCTTAGTAGGACCAGAGCTTTACTTTGGGATCTGGAGACCTGGGCATGAGCGGCGAGCGCTCGTTAAACAACTCGTCTAGCCCAATGACCGGTACTGACCGGCAGGTCTACTGAGTTCAGTGTGAAGGGTCCGAACTCCGGGCTGTAGGCTGAAACGGGGGCCGTCTTTAAGTGTTGAGGCCTGGTTGAACCACTCCCCTACCGGACCTACTACAACTGATGATCTGTGTCTGACGACTCGACTGTCCCGAGGGATACGAACCCCTCCAAGGACCGGTACAGACCGGCGGGCTGCTCGGTGTGGCACAGTAGGCTGGAATGGCTGAGTTGTGGGCTGAAATCACTAGAGGAGCCAAGCTGATCACGTCGTCCTGTCTGCGACGTTAAAGAATTCTTGCGGAGTTTGGGGGATCTCCTTAAATGCCTCCTGATCAGCTTTGGGTTCAGTAGTGAYAGCCTTAGAGTAGTWGTGAGTAGTGGATCTTAGAGAGTTAGYCAGTASGTCAGTGTGTCCGGGTAGGTCTAAGTGGTGAGGAGTGGGACGTTGTCGTGCACCTGACGCCACAATGGACGACTATCCGATGTATGGGTTGCTGGTTGGGTTCTCTCTCTGGGGGACCCTCTGGCATCTCCTCTTTCCTCTGGGTTTCTGGCCCACTTTCACGTGTAGAGTAGGGCCCACTCGTGGTGGTACTTCCACCAACCCTTACACGAAGGAGGAGGAGGAGAAGATGRCCGCCRTTCTGCAGGAGAGGAAGGAGAAGAAARAGGCCAAGAAGAAAGCCTTGAAGGAGGAGCAGGCGACCAAATTGAAGAAGATAGAAGAAGAGATGGCTAGAGAGAAGGAGAGGATACAGAAAGAGGAGGAAGCAAAGTTGAAGGAGGTGGAAGAAGAAGAGGAGGAAGATGATCAGCCACTGGAGAGGAGAAGAGAACAGCGAGGGTAGTTCAGTGGCAGCAAAGATGATGAGATGGAGAAGCGGATCTCAGAGTGGGTCGCCAACTTGTCCCTGGGAGAAGAAGAAGAGGTAGCCATGTATATCCCCAAGGACGAGCAGGAAGCCGCTATGAAGGAGTGGGAAGCAGAAAGGGATGTTGTGAGGCGGCAGGCAATGGAGGATGAAACGAGGATGGAGTGGAAGCTGAGAGTGATGAGGGAAAAGAAGAAGAAAGTGGACTCGGCGATTGACGCGGTCAAAGACCTAGGGGAGATGCAGCAACTAACCCTGAGGTTGACCCCTCAGGTAGACCTTGAGAAAAAGGTAGAACTCATTGCCCAAACTGTGGAGCGCTTAGCCCGGATACAAGAACAACAGTACGATTTTCGTCAAAGTCAGGATATGGCTGTGCGCTCCATACAAATGGGGTTTCGGGACTTTGCTCGCGAATTGGTAGGCGCGATAGGATCCGAGGTGAATCATCGCCTCGAGAAGACTGAACAATTTTGCGCTGGCGCCATTGAGGGCGTCAAGGCGGCAGCTCCCAAGGAGGAGGAACCACGCCCGCCGCGTAGAGAGCCAGTCAAGGTCAAATTCCCTGATTCCTACAGTGGGAAGAGCGAAGAGAACTTTGATAACTGGGAGGCCAACGTTAAGACCTACGTGCATTTGCAACAGGCCTCCCCGGATCAGCAAGTTCTAATTGCGATCCACGCACTTAGAGATGAGGCCACCCGTTTCGCAAGATCCCTTGTTCGCGCTGCCAACTGCAGTGACGATCCCGTTGCCTATTCGGCGTTTACTTCCCTCACTGAGTTCATGAGATTGCTGCGCGAGCGATTTGCAGATGTCGCTCAAAGTGTCAAGGCCTCAGATAGGTTCCAAACAATCCACGCTCGTAAGTGGAAGAGTGCCAGGGCACTCAAGAGCACGATGGATGAATTAATCGTTGTTTCTGACCATGGGGTCACAGACACCCAACTGGTCGGCCTCTTCTATCGGGCTATCCCCGAAGCCTTGCGAGGGCACTTCTTCGCGAAGAGCGAAGATCCGGCCACTACTTATGATTCTCTTAGTCGTGAGGTGGTGGCCTTTGAAGCCAAGTCAGCATTTGTGTCTACCTTCTGGCACAAAGACTTGGACAAGGGGAAGCAATGGAAGGGCCGCACTATCTCTGGGCAAGTGAAGACTAAGGATAGCCTTGTCCNCAAAGACTTGGACAAGGGGAAGCAATGGAAGGGCCGCACTATCTCTGGGCAAGTGAAGACTAAGGATAGCCTTGTCCTAACTCTAGATGAGGGTAGTGTGGATGAGATCCCCTACGATCAGATTGAGTGGGGGTTAGAGGAGGATGACAGCGGTGTGGGCCAGGGGAGGACTTACGCTGCTGTCGCGGCTGGAGGGAGGCCGCAAGGAGGACGAGGCCAGGGCCAAGGGGGCCGGGCCTCAGGGAGCCGGTTCCAGGGCGATCAGGGGGTTGGCGGTAGAGGGGGAAACCGCCAAGCGGGAGGCAGGGGTCAAGGTCCCCCGCAAAACCGTCCTAGGAATAGGTCTCCCTATAGAGTAGGAGGATGGCACCCAGGGCTGCCGCAGGGCAGGCCTTGGGAATCTTTGGGTCTGGACCAGACTTTATGGCAACAACGATTGGACCGGGGCCAGTGCATTTTCTGCGGTGACCCGGGCCACATCATCAAATACTGTCCTAAGTATCGAGCGACCCGCACGGCTGCCCAAGGGCCAAAAGGCAGCCGTCGGTAGGGGTAGTAACTGCCCCTACCACTAGGCCATGTGGGGAACATAGCGCTAGCCGGCAGGACACTCCCACACCACATGTGCCTATGGCAGAGGTTGCAGGATGGTGTCTAGATAGCTGCCCAGAGACTGCTTGTGTTAGAGTCTCTCTAGACACCTCCCTCACAGGCGTGGCCAAAGAGTTGAAGGAGAGGAGGCCCGCCTAGTCCAAGATGAAGAAGGAGAATAAAGGGCAGCTGATTTTATTAGATGCAGAGATTTTTAGAAGTAGAGTAGGGGCCCTAGTAGACTCAGGGGCCACCCGCAGCTATATTAGTAAGAAAGCGCTGCAAAAGTTGAGGCTGGGACTTAAAGTCCAGAAACTGACAGACCCCATAGTTAGTATCCTCGCGGACAATCGTACTATGGTTGTAGAGGATTACGTAGAGGGAGTCCAGGCGTATTTCCGCCTAGAGAAAGAAGGGAAGGTGGAGAAGGTCCTCCACTCCCTGACTCTCCTCATAGAGGACAGCCTCCCATTTGATATTGTGTTGGGAATGGATTGGGGAGAGGCAGCTGGGGCCACGCTCCATTTGAAGGAGCACGAGTGTAGGCTCCCTAGTACTGCAGGCGAGGCTAAGACTGCCCGCCTGTTCCATGTGTCAAGAGTAGAGAATTCATTGGCACATTGCTGCCTCAGTGCTCCTGGGTTCGCCAGATTAGTGAAGAAGGAGCACTTAGAGGAACTGGTCTTTGTTGCCTATGTTAGGCCAGTCACTAAGCCTAAGGAAGAGAAACCCGTAGACCCTGCTATTGCCAAATTGCTGGAAGAGTTTAAGGATTTGACTGAGCCGCCGACAGGCACGGTGCCGCGGCCCATCCAGCACCGTATTGAGATAGAGCTTGGCAGTAGAACTCCTAAGGGTGCTGTGTACAGGATGTCCCCGCGGGAGTTAGAGGAGCTGCGGAAGCAGTTGGATGAGCTCCTTGAAAAGGGTTGGATTAGGCCCAGTTCGTCTCCTTTTGGAGCCCCTGTTCTCTTTGTCCCTAAGAAAGAGGGAAAGATGAGGATGTGTATAGACTATAGGGGTCTGAATGCCATTACAGTGAAGAATGCTGAGCCACTGCCTAGGATAGACGATCTCTTAGATCGAGTGCAGGGGGCGAAGTATCTCTCCAAGATAGATTTGAAGTCCGGATATCATCAGATAGAGGTGCATCCTGATGATCAGTACAAGACAGCCTTCCGGACTAGATATGGGCACTACGAGTTCATAGTGATGCCCTTTGGACTAACCAATGCGCCAGCTACGTTCCAGCGCTGTATGGACGATTTGTTTAGGCCGAGGTTAGACAAATTTGTTGTAGTTTATCTAGATGACATTCTAGTGTTTAGCAGGACCCTCGAAGAGCATCAGGGTCATCTCAGGCAGGTCTTGGAGAAGCTGAGGGAAGCTAACTTCAAGATCAATGCAAAGAAGTGCGATTGGGCAAAGACCCAAGTTCTGTACCTAGGCCACGTCTTAGACGGAGACGGCGTTAAATCAGAGGATAGCAAGATCGCAGCGATTAGAGATTGGCCCACACCACGTATGCTGACAGAGTTGCGCTCGTTACTGGGCCTAGCTAATTACTATAGGAAGTTCATGAGGAACTTCTCCACCATCATTGCGCCCCTTCGCAGACTGTTGAGAAAGGAGAACCTTTGGAAGTAGGACAAGGACTGTACGTCTGCCATGAAGAAATTGAAGCAGGCCTTGATAGAGTATCCAGTCCTTAAAGTCGCCGACCCGTCCTTGCCCTTTGTCGTCACGACTGATGCGAGTCAATACGGCATAGGCGCAGTGTTGCAGCAAGACGATGGCAATGGGTATAGACCGTAGAGTTCATGTCCGCCAGGATGCCTTCAGAGAAGGTCGCGACATCGACCTATGAGAGGGAACTCTACGCTCTCAGGCAAGCCTTAGACCACTGGAAGCACTACTTGCTTGGGAGGCACTTCAAAGTCTATTCTGACCATGAAACGTTACGATGGTTAAAGACGCAGGCCAAGATGACACCTAAGCTTACTAGGTGGGCCGCGAAGATAGATCAGTACGACTTCGAGCTCAAGCCTGTTAAAGGGAAGTACAACGTAGTCGCGGATGCTCTGAGTAGGAGGGCGGATTACTTTGGGGCAATAGTACACTATCTTGATATAGGGAAGGACCTGCAACAGAAGGTTAGAGAGGCCTATGCGAAGGACCCTATCTATAGTGAGCTCCTTAAGAAGGTCAAGGAGGCCCCAGAGACTGAGCCAAACTACCGCACTACTGAAGGGCTACTCTTTGAGAAGACTAATGTATTTGACCGCATGTGCATTCCCAATAGCGAAGAGATTCGTAGTCTGATTTTGGGCGAATGCCATGACACAGAGGGTCATTTTGGTTGGCAAAAGACCTTAGCCAATCTGATGCGCGCGTATACCTGGCCAGGGATGAAGAATGACTGCGTAGAGTATGTTCGCAGTTGTAAGGTCTGCCAACGTAACAAGAGTTCTACGCGCGCCCCGTTAGGTCTTCTCAGACCCTTACCCATTCCGGACCAACCGGGAGACTCAGTGTCCATCGACTTCATGGACACCCAGGTCAAGAGCACGCATGGCAAGAGCCAAGTCATGGTCATAGTTGACCGATTTAGTAAGTACACAGTCTTTGTTCCTTTGCCGTTAGAGGCACGTACTGATTTGGTCATTCAGAGGTTTTTTGGCTGTTGGGTTAGTGAGAATGGAATCCCGCTGTCTATAGTTAGCGATAGAGATAGTCACTTTACCAGCCAGAACCGGCAAGAACTCATGGGAGTGTATGGATCTAAGTTGTTGATGTCATCTGGCCGTCATCCAGAGACTAACCGTCAAACAAAGCAAATGAACAAGATCCTACAGCAAGTTCTGCGCATGTACATTAGGCCAGATCAGATTAACTGGGATGAGATGTTACCTAAGGTAGCTAGTGCATATAATAACAGCGTGCATCTGTCCACCGGCCGCACTCCCAACGAACTGCACAAGTCCTTTAGGCCCCGTAGACCGTTTGAAGGGCTTAGCCGGGATCAGATTCACAGATTGCCACCCGAAACCAGGGAGTTCGCTGTGCAACACGAGAAAGAACTAGTTACTGTAGTAGAGAACCTCAGAAAGGCCCAGCACAGGATGATAGAGCAAGCCAATAAGCATCGTCGCCCCTCACAGTTTCAAGTAGGTGACTTAGTCTGGGTCAGTTCTAAAGAGTTTGCACCTGAGGAGAACATCTCGCAGAAGTTACTGCCCACCTATAGAGGACTGTGGCCAGTCTTAGAAGTCAAGGGCGGCGAAGATGGACCGTCCTATACCATAGAACTCCCAGCACACCTCCACACGTATCCAGTTTTCCACGCATCAAAGTTGTTACCGTGTCAAACAAGTGATCAGTTTCCATCCCGTAGGTCCATGATCCCACCGGATATGGATGGAAGATACRACATTGATGGAATAGTGGCTGAARATGTATTCAGGACTGGAGGTAGGGGTCGTCCACAGAAACARTACAAGGTTCACTTTAGTTATCARGAACYGGAAGACGACCGCTGGTTTACAAGGTCTGAACTTCTAGAGACAGCTCCCGATATAGTCCGAGCCTACGAGAGACAGCAGAGGGGTAAAGGTCCTGCCTTGGACTGAAATTTTCTCAGAGGACCTCAAATTTAGGCCGGCGGGAGTGAAACGGTATTCACCAGTTCGCAGTAGCGAATGCAGATCCCAGGGTTCGATCCCTAGTTCCCCATCTTACCTGTGTACAGTAGTGATGTCAAACCGTAGATTTGAACCTGTGACCTGTCGGAACGCCAGTGGTAGGTAGATTGTCGTAGGTCACAGCTTAGAAGGGAATCGAACTGTAGACTTGTAGGGTAGGAGTCTAGACAGTTCCGAAGTCGTAGTTGTAGGTTGTCTGAAAGGTCAAGGTCGTAGCTGCTACTTACCTGAAGGGGCAAAGTCGTAGCTGCTACAACACTGAAAGGCCAAGTCGGAGGTTTCTAGAAGTGGCCTTTCGGAGTGAGCCTCCGTTGAACAGAGGCAAGTGGTCAAGTGGTGGTAAGCCACCCTGCTGAGTCAACAGTCCCAGTTAGGCAGTCCGGTCCTGTCCAGCAAGTACCGTCTGGGACTGTGTGCACCAAGGGCCAAGGGACACAGGGCAGACCAACGCAGCGTAGAAGTATAAATCAAGAGGCTGTGCCCAGCCATTCATTCATTCCTGCGGATGCCATGCGGAAGCGCTGCCTCAGCAGCTTGTGCGAGGGGGTCTGCAGTGTGCCCGAAGACGAAGTGGGCAGAGAAGCGTAGTGTAGCGATAGGGTAATGGCAGCTAGCGCTGCCATAGCTGTAGCATAGTGTGTGTGTGGTGTGTTGCGTATGGATAGTGAGTGCTGCGTGTGGGACATCCAGGGTGATCCAGAGTGCGAACAGTGAGTTGTGTGGGCGCGCAGTCGCCATAGCCAGTTGGAAGAGAACTCTTATCTGGGCACGATATCTTTGAGAACTGTGTGGGCGCATGTCGCCAGTTTTCTGTATCGCTGTTTGCATGCATGATGATGTTTGCATGCATGATGAAGTGTGAATAAGCCGAGTCTGATTGCCATGGGCCCCCAGTTATGCCATTTCTGCACGGTGGGCGCCAGACAGTTGCCACGCGCCAGTTGGTTACAGGAGCCCTGCTCGTGAGAATCAGAATCTCTCAGGAAGCATCCAGGTTCCTGGAGGCTTGTATGTGGAAGCAGGCCTTCGGCCTATCAGATGGCAGGGAACACGTCACAGGCTACGTCGGGTGGTTGGGGGCATATCAAAGCTGCGATCCCAAGCACCTGTTTGCATGGGCCTGGGCGCAGACACTTTGCCCAACGTGAAGCTACTGGGCCCCAGCCCAGGAGGCCCAGCAGGGGCCAAAGCAGGGCGCACTTTCCATTGAAGGAAAGTGCTCGCCCTTGCCCAGGGATATTCTAGCCTAGGCAGGCAACGTGGCCATGCTGCTGCATTGTCTTGCGCTCTGCTGCGCTAGCAGGCAGGCCGGATGCGCGCACAGGCGCTAAGAGGTGAGAGGGCGCTGCGGTGGCAGCAGGCAAACGGCGGCCATAGCCGGGCTGCTGGGCGCATTTTGGGTGACGGACGATGGTGGTCTTCAGGTAGGAGGCGCATGTGTGGGAAGACAGGGAGTGATGAGGGGAGGAGAGAGAGACATACCTGGTGTATGCTGGCAGTCTGCATTCGCGACGACGTCACATACCTTGGTCTTCAGCTTCAAAGTGAATCCTGTTGCATGAACGTAGTGTAGGCTAGATAGGCTGAGTAGTGTGGGCTGGGCGCTGAGTGCCGATCTGGATGAGAGACCTTGGATACTGTGTTGATGTGGCCAGAAAGCATCGACATTGACATTTGGGTTCATCGTATCGCTCTTATTTGGATTGTATCTTGGTGCATTTTTCTCTCTGCATGGTACATGACTATATTGACTACAGCGTGATTTTGCAATTTGGATTTCTGTCTACCGCTCTCGCTCATATTCCTTGCACTTCTCTATGGGCAGACAATGACAGGGAGGATCGGTCCAAAGCAAGGGTGTTCAGCTGCTGCAGGGTTTGGTCTGCAACAGCTTGTCCTGGTGGTGATAAACTATCAGCAAATCACTCTGCACATGGTTCATATAGAAATCTATTTTCCTCCTCGGGCTGCTGCATCTTTCATTCGTCTGGCAAGGAAGAGGGAGATCCGTCTGCGGTTGCCGTAGGTGTATGACCAACACCAAATGTGGGACATACTAGGAGACGATGTGGAGGATGATGGCACCGGGGATAGTCCTCGCAGTAAAGACATACTTTCTATGACAGCTTCCAGGAAACACTGATGACATATGGCATGTTGCTGACATGTCATCAGTATGGAAGGCTAATGGGCACAGTTATTTAAGCATGGCAGACCAAGGCCACAACGGCATGCTGGGCAGGTGATCAGGGGGGGGGGGGGATGAGCACAAGACAGGGGATCACAGTTTTCGTGGGAGAGGCCAGCAGCAGCCATCCCTTCATAGTGTTCAGAGCAGAGGCTATGCGGTGTGCATGCCAACCGAACGGTACCTGTGTGACGGCACAAAGGGAGGGCACAGACACCATCCTCTGGAGAGGTCCCTTCACTGTTTGTGGTAGAATCAGCCGGATTTATCTCCACTGGGTGCAGTGCTTGCAAGTGCTCATCAACATACTGTTCCTGATGGACGAGCCAGACTGAGTGTGTGTGTGTGTGTGTGTGTGTGTGTGTGTGTGTG